TGTAGAGGGGAAATGTATGCAATAACTATAGTAAAAAAAGAATATGAGAGCTCTGAGAATGGACAAGAGCTTAGATAAGCTCAGCAGCCTGCCATTCTGTAAATCCCCGCTCAAAACATTTTTGCTCACTTGTGCCATTACAAATAGAATGAGATCCAAGGCATATCAGACTGATCACACCAGTGGCGGATGCAGAGCCTGATCTCGGGAGGGGCACTTGTAGATTATTTAAATAAATAATCTAGACACAATAACCACTACAGCTCAGTGTAGTGGTTATGGTGCCAATAGTGCCGGGACCCCTCCCAGAGTAAGTACTAGTCAAACCGTTTAAGAACAGTTTGACAACTTACCTGAGGTCTTCTGGGAAATGGGGCTGTCATAGGGAATAGGAGCAGTGGTGTGTGTGAGTGGTGCAATGTGTGAGGGGTGCAGTGTGTGTGTGAGGGCGACAGTGTGTGAGCAGTGTTTGTGTGTGAAGGTTGCAGTGTGTGAGTGAGGATGGCAGTGTATGTCAGGGGTGCAGTGTGTGTGTTGGGGGGCAGTGTATGTGTGGGTCAGTATGTGTGTGTGACAGATGCAGTGTATGTGTGTATGGGGGGGCAGTGTATGTGTAGGGCATTGTGTGTATGGGGGGGCAGTGTATATGTAGGGCAATGTGTGTATGGGGGGCAGTGTATGTGTAGGGCAATGTGTGTATGGGGGGCAGTGTATGTGCGTGTGGGGCACGCCCCTTGTAGATGGTGAATCACAGGATCCTCCCTCAAATTATACAATTTAGAATAGAAAATAGCAAATAAAATAACAAATCCCTCTGCAAGTTTAGCTGGGTTCTACAGCTTTACTCCCGGGGCTGAAGAAACACGTGGTATAGTGTTCTGCCGGCTTTATTGCTGCTGCTATAATGTGATAATTGTAATGCTTTCAGAGCTTCTGATGAAGCTGTATCGTGGAGAACTCGTCTTTGCATTTCTTGATTTTATCAAGTAAGGAGGTATGCGAGGATATTTTGTAGGAGGATGTAAGGGTTGCTAGCTAAGTTTCCAAATGGGATATTTGATGCATAGTCGTGACACCTTGAAAACAATCAGGAGCCTAGGTTAGTGAGTAGACATGTGCAATTCATAGGGGTAGGGTTTGGGTTAGGGGTTAGCTTAGGGTTAGAGGTAGGGTTAGGGGTAGGCTTAGGGAACTGCCCAAGTCCCAAAGTGCCGAAGTCCGGAAGTGCTGAATTGCCCAAGTCCCGAATTTCGGAAGTGCCGAACCGAAGTGCTGAATTCCCGAATTGCCAAAGTCCTGAATTTCGGAAGTGCCGAACCGAACCAAAGTGCCGAAGTCCTGAAATGCCAAAGTCCCGAATTTCGGAAGTGGTGAGCCGAAGTGCTGAATTTCTGAATTGCAGAAGTCCCGAATTTGAGAAGTGCCGAACCGAAGTGCAGAATTGCCGAAAGTCCCGAATTTCGGAAGTGCCGAACCGAACCAAATTTCTTGCCCATGCGCATCCCTATTAGCGAGACAGTGTAGTATAGACTTAGCGTGTTCCACTGAAATGTCTAACAGGGGGTCTGGAGCTACATTAAAGTCTGCACAGATTCAAATTTGTCCTCTAGATTTAGCTTGTATGTTTCTGAACAGTTTTGTTAGGATTTGAATTTCTTTAGTATTTGGAACATATAATTTTACTATACTATAATCTTGATTGTTAATTGTGCATATTAATATAGCCCGTCCGTTGGGCGTACTTGATCTTGGAGTGTATCTGGAAAGTTAAGGGTTTATGGAGGATGGGAACACCCTCTGATTTTGTGGGGCCCGTGGGTACCAGATAGTCAACTGAGTATAAATATGGGTGTTATAATATAGCCTCCTGCACAAACCGCATGGTGGTGCAAATAAATTTATTTAAACCATTGGCATTTAAAGTGAAAACTGTGAATGTCAGTTTAAAAGGGGAGAGTGAGTTTAAATGCGGCTCACTGGGGGATAAACTTTCTTGTACTCTCATGACGTTACAGGATCACACCTGCTGCTCGAACCGCAGAATAGGAGTCTTGGGGGCGAGGCCGGGCTGCTGGGCCGGCTGGCAGCCATGAACTTTAGCTCCAGACCCGAGCACTTGAAAAAGGCACTAAAAGGGTGTGCTGAACACCCCAAAGTTGACATCTCCGCAGAACCGGAGCAGAGCAAAATCCCAGCATCAGAAAGACACCCAATAACCACCAACAGCAAGCTGGAAGGTGGGTGCTGATATCTCCGGCCTACACACAATATGGAGCCTCAAGCGGCAATTGAACAGGGCGGTCAGTGCGAAAGAGTCCTGACATAACACGGCCGGTGCCTGCCGGCGGTGCGGCCCCGCTCCCCCCCCTCATGGTCGGCGGGGGTAATCCTGACCTCATGGCGACGGGAGTCCCCGGGCTGGTGTTGTGCCGATCGCCTACACTGGCAAAGGCTGCATGCGGAACAGCCTGTCAGAAGACTGGTCCATACAGACAAGGGGACAGCCACAGCGGTGGATATGCGCAATCGGCTGTTTTAAACCCCTTTAATTAAGCATCCGATGGCTCTGGGAGGGGACACAGTGAAAAATACTCACCTACTGTGGGGACCGCCTTGGACAGAGCGTGCGACCTTCAGCGCTACCGACCTCCGGATGGATTCTCCGGCAACCAGCCCGCAAGAGGAGTAGGTGCCCGGGCCTCCGGGATCCCGGAGAGACTTGTCCCTGGTGCTGTGAGCCCTGTGGACCAGGTGGCGGCGGGCCTGCCGGCGGACCGGTGGCCGAGACTGGCGTGCACCACCCCCAAGAGTGTGGCCGGCACCAGGAGAGACATGGGAGGTTCTGGGGAGGTGCAGGGGGCAGACAGATCGTAGACTCTAGGTGTGGGGGTCATGCGGACTGTTCCTGCTTCTGAGTGCCCACAGAGCCATGGAGAGTCCTACTGGCGGGCTGAGACCTGCCTGGGGGAGAGAGTTGGAGACTCATGGACCGAGGGACATATCGCTGCTGTGCCATAGACGGCCCTCGTCCGACTAATATAAAATCCTGTGCTGCTATAATTCTTATATAATTATTCTCTACTAAATGTAATATTTCGTAGCTCTAAAGCCGGAGGTCCATACCCCCATCATATCACCCTATGTTAAGGAACAACCTGCTTACAGTTTAACCGTTCATTGCTTATTTTCTCGATGTGTTTGTGATAACGCACGTACAGATTTTGTGGGTCCAATCTTAGGGACATCGATTACCTCTTACCTGAGGGCACGAATTAAAGACTTACAACATACTACCCTGTTAAACGTGGGGAGAGGAAGTTAAACAGCAACCAATTAAGCCCCTAATCCCCCATTATCTAATCATTGAATGTCATGTTAACATCTCAGAGTGAAATACTAACCCTTTCTCTGATTTTCTAATTATGAGCCCTTGTGTTATACCATAGTTTAAGCCCCCCCTGCCAGCATATAGGGACTCACTAATGGGTTGCCGCGTATTGTTTAATCAAATAAAGTTGAGAATAGGCATAAAACATTATTTAACTGGACCCGTTATAATTCAGCGTAGACAACAGTGCAAATACCTCGGTTCAGATTTAGCTAAACATTGTACTGCTAACATATGCTGACTGCAAAATAAGATGCAGAGAATGATCTCTTCTTGCTAATGTTGGAACGGATATGCAATATGACATTTGCTTAACCTTAGTTATGTTACTTGTGTTCACATAATTTAACTTTTCTGCCTTACTAGGCTTCGGCTGTTCTCATTCGATATAAAATGCACTCTGTGGCATATGCCTATGTCGAAAGCTTATTATGATACATTTATCTCCCCTGCGTGGGATGACTGCTTTTCCTATGCACCAATAAACTTATTCAAAACAGAATAGGAGTCTAAAAAATAAAATTGGCATAACATGACCAATAAACAATTTCAATAGAAAGTAGTGAACAAAAACAATTGTCAATTTGTGTATGTATAGAAACAGTATCAAACACAATATATCAGTGGTTCCCAATAAAAGGATAACATGTATTCCCCAAATGGCCATCTCTTAAATCTCGTTTGTGTTTCGGTTACATTTAGACAGCATGTTTTTTTTATGTACCTATTTGTTTTGTATGCTGCATATTTGTTTCCTCAATGTATTCTTCTATATTATAAACTTTCTTTTTTTTCATAGTGCTATCTTTTCTTATAAGATCAACAAAGATAATTTAACACACATCTATTTAAAAAAAATGAATATCTTTACACAGATTTACACAAGAGTACGCTTGGCCGTAGGTCAACTTTATTGTGAATAAAACTCTTCGGCAGCCTGCGTGTGAAGTTCTATCTTCTAATCACAGTGTTTTTAATTTGATTAAACAAAACAATAGCCATTAGCAGTGACTCAATGGGCATCACTATTACAAAAACTTGATCTGTATACAAAACTATTAATTTGTAATCCTAGCATTGAAGGGTAGTCAATGAGGGTTAGATACAACTACATGTCAACACAGATTAGTCTCTCTCTCTCTCTGTCTGCACCCTTTCCTTTAGAAAGCTAGAAGTCCCGATTGTTTGTACGGACGAAGGCCCAACACACACATCCCATTGCAACAACAAACAGACCAACAGAATTCCAAAAGAGATTAGAAGGACAAGAGGTGGGAATAAATGGCGGTGGTCAGACACATCGATTGAAGGGACCAAATGAAGCTAGTTTGGGCTTTTATATTTACATTATTTAAACAAAGAAAATATGCTGGTCTACAACAAATCATACGATTATAGATAATTCATGTAAAAAGACACAAATTGACAGGATTTAAGCGTTTATTATAGCCCTGGTACATAAGGCAGACTTATCAACTTCCCTAGGAGAATTTTTCCCTAATTCCCAGGAGACAGAGAGTAAGCCATCATTGGTGAATGTTGCCAAAAATCTGACAAAATGGTCTAATGGAGTCATGGCAAGAATAATATAGGGATTATTGACGTGTCAGCTTTATGTCCATCCTTTGAATACAACATTAACAGATGTAGCATGGTCAGCAGGGTTAGAGACATGAACAGGAGAATTAGGGTCGGTAGGGGTAGCAGTATAAACAGGAGTAGCAGTGTTAATTGGGTTAGAGACATGAACAGGAGAATTAGGGTCGGTAAGGGTAGCAGTATAAACAGGAGTAGCCGTGTCAGTTGGGTTAGAGACATGAACAGGAGAATTAGGGTCGGTAGGGGTAGCAGTATAAACAGGAGTAGCCGTGTCAGTTGGGTTAGAGACATGAACAGGAGAATTAGGGTCGGTAGGGGTAGCAGTATAAACAGGAGTAGCCGTGTCATTTGTGTTAGAGACATGAACAGGAGAATTAGGGTGGGTAGGGGTAGCAGTATAAACAGGAGTAGCCGTGTCAGTTGGGTTAGAGACATGAACAGGAGAACTAGGGTCGGTAGGGGTAGCAGTATAAACAGGAGTAGCAGTGTCAGTTGGGTTAGAGACATGAACAGGAGAATTAGGGTCGGTAGGGGTAGCAGTATAAACAGGAGTAGCCGTGTTAATTGGGTTAGAGACATGAACAGGAGAATTAGGGTCGGTAGGGGTAGCAGTATAAACAGGAGTAGCAGTGTCAGTTGGGTTAGAGACATGAACAGGAGAATTAGGGTGGGTAGGGGAGCAGTATAAACAGGAGTAGCAGTGTCAGTTGGGTTAGAGAAATGAACAGGAGAATTAGGGTCGGTAGGGGTAGCAGTATAAACAGGAGTAGCCGTGTTAGTTGGGTTAGAGACATGAACAGGAGAATTAGGGTCGGTAGGGGTAGCAGTATAAACAGGAGTAGCAGTGTCAGTTGGGTTAGAGACATGAACAGGAGAATTAGGGTCGGTAGGGGTAGCAGTATAAACAGGAGTAGCCGTGTCAGTTGCTAGGAGACATGAACAGGAGAATTAGGGCTCCCAGCAAAAGCAGTGCATAAACAGGAGCAGCTCTGTTAGTTGGGTTAGAGATAATGAACAGGAGAATTAGGGCTCTAAGTAGGGAAGTAAAAGCAGTATAAACAGGAGTAGCAGTGTCAGTTGGTCAGACACAACAGGAGAATTAGGGGTCGGTAGGGTAGCAGTATAAAACAGGAGCAGCCGCAGTTAGTTGGGTTAGAGACATGAAAAGGAGAATTAGGGTCGGTAGGGGTAGCAGTATAAACAGGAGCAGTCGTGTCAGTTGGGTTAGAGACATGAACAGGAGAATTAGGGTCGGTAGGGGTAGCAGTATAAACAGGAGTAGCAGTGTCAGTTGGGTTAGAGACATGAACAGGAGAATTAGGGTCGGTAGGGGTAGCAGTATAAACAGGAGTAGCCGTGTTAGTTGGGTTAGAGACATGAAAAGGAGAATTAGGGTCGGTAGGGGTAGCAGTATAAACAGGAGCAGTCGTGTCAGTTGGGTTAGAGACATGAACAGGAGAATTAGGGTCGGTAGGGGTAGCAGTATAAACAGGAGTAGAAGTGTCAGTTGGGTTAGAGACATGAACAGGAGAATTAGGGTGGGTAGGGGTAGCAGTATAAACAGGAGTAGCAGTGTCACTTGGGTTAGAGACATGAACAGGAGAATTAGGGTGGGTAGGGGTAGCAGTATAAACAGGAGTAGCAGTGTCAGTTGCCCCCGCCCCATCCACCTTGCCTTGACGTGGCAGGTGAGCTTACACTTAAATGGCCACTGGAGTGATACTAAAATCCAGTAATTTAAATATGCCCAGGGATTTGGGCTAGTGCACAAGTAACTCTTTTCTTTGTTTTTTACTGCATGTATTGTGGATGATGTGGCTATGGTCATCGCTGACGCTCAGGAGTATTGGGAGTTTGAGCTCAGGGCTTGATTTTGTATGTTTACAATATAGGGGTCTGCAAACACTCTGATCCTGGTCGCTATTGTACATCGTATGGGAAGATACCTGTTACAGACAAACATGTCTTGCAATGGCTGATGGGAATTGGCAAGCTGTCAGGCAGAAGCTGTATCTCACTCTTCACTTAGTCACCTACATTGAACACGGTATTCCCTATTTTGTCATATTTTCTTCTGGTTGTTATTTAATTTCAATAAAAAATCCAACGCAGTCATTTACGAGGTTTCCAAAAGATTTGATTCTTTATAACAGAGCCAGGTTAACCACCATAGACTCTCTGTGTTCCTTTACTTCACTCATAAATGTAAAATACTGTAACACGCACTGTGACACGCACTGTAACACGCACTGTGACACGCACTGTCACACACACTGTGACACGCACTGTGACACGCACTGTGACACGCACAGTAACACCCACTGTAACACACACTGTGACACACACTGTAACACGCACTGTGACACGCACTGTGACACACACTGTCACACACACTGTGACACGCACTGTGACACGCATTGTAACAGACACTGTAAAACTCACTGTGACACGCACTGTGACACACGCACTGTGACACACACTGTAACACACACTGTGACACGCACTGTGCCACACACACTGTGACACGCACTATATCACGCACTGTTACACACACACTGTGACCCTCACTGTAACAGACACTGTAACACTTACTGTAACATTCACTGTAACATGCACTGTGACATGCACTGTGACACACACTGTGACACACACTGTAACAGGCACTGTGACACGCACTATATCACGCACTGTAACACACACTGTGACCCTCACTGTAACAGACACTGTAACACTTACTGTAACATTCACTGTAACATGCACTGTGACATGCACTGTGACACACACTGTGACACACACTGTAACAGGCACTGTGACACGCACTATATCACGCACTGTAACACACACTGTGACCCTCACTGTAACAGACACTGTAACGCTCACTGTGACACACACACTGTGACCCTCACTGTAACAGACACTGTAACACTCACTGTGATACACACTTTGACGGACACTGTAACACTTACTGTAACACTCACTGTTACAGACATTGTAACACGCACTGTAACACGCACTGCGACGCGCACTGCGACGCGCACTGCGACGCGCACTGCAACGCACGCACCGTGACGCACGTACCGTGACACGCACTGTAACACGCACTGTGACACGCACTGTGACAGACACTGCAACAGACATTGCGACAGACACTGTGACAGACACTGCAACAGACACTGCGACACACACTTTGAAAGACACTGTAACACGCACTGTGACACACACTTTGACAGACACTGTAACATTCACTGTAACAGACACTGTAACACGCACTGTGACGCGCACTGTGACACACACTGTAACACGCACTATAACACGCACTGTGACAGACACTGTAACACTTACTGTAACACTCACTGTTACAGACATTGTAACACGCACTGTAACACGCACTGCGATGCGCACTGCGATGCGCACTGCGATGCGCACTGCGACGCGCACCGCGACGCACGCACCGTGACGCATGCACCGTGACACGCACCGTAACACGCACTGTGACACACACTGTGACAGACACTGCAACAGACACTGAGACAGACACTGTGACAGACACTGCAACAGACACTGCGACACACACTGCGACACACACTGTGACACACACTTTGAAAGACACTGTAACACTCACTGTAACAGACACTGTAACACGCACTGTGACGCGCACTGTGACACACACTGTAACACGCACTATAACACGCACTGTGACAGACACTGCAGCACTCACTGTGACAGACACTGCGACAGACACTGCGACAGACACTGCGACACACACTTTGAAAGACACTGTAACACTCACTGTAACAGACACTGTAACACGCACTGTAACACTCACTGTAAGAGACATTGTAACACGCACTGTGACACGCACTGCGACGCGCACTGCGACACACGCACCGTGACACGCACCGTGACACGCACTGTGACACGCACTGCGACACACCCTTTGACAGACACTGTAACACTCACTGTAACAGACACTGTAACACTCACTGTGACGCGCACTGTGACACACACTGTAACACGCACTATAACACGCACTGTAACAGACAATGTAACACGCACTGTGATGCGCACTGTGACACACACTGTAACACGCACTATAACACGCACTGTAACACGCACTGTGACACACACTGCAACACGCACTATAACACGCACTATAACACGCACTGTAACAGACAATGTAACACGCACTGTGATGCGCACTGTGACACACACTGTAACAGACACTGTAACAGACACTGTAACACGCACTGTGACAGACATTGTGACAGACACTGTAACACGCACTGTAACACACACTGTAACAGACACTGTAACACACACTGTAACAGACACTGTAACACGCACTGTGACAGACATTGTGACAGACACTGTAACACGCACTGTAACACACACTGTAACAGACACTGTAACACACACTGTAACACACACTGTAACACGCACTGTAACAGACACTGTAACACGCACTGTGACAGACATTGTGACAGACACTGTAACACGCACTGTAACACACACTGTAACAGACACTGTAACACGCACTGTAACAGACACTGTAACACGCACTGTGACAGACACTGTAACACGCACTGTGACAGACATTGTGACAGACACTGTAACACGCACTGTAACACGCACTGTAACAGACACTGTAACACACACTGTAACACACACTGTAACACGCACTGTAACAGACACTGTAACACACACACTGTAACACACACTGTACACAGCTTGACACTTGGAGCAGATTATATATTTAAAGTCTTTCACAGACAGTTCTGAGGATCACAGTTCAGTTTGAATACGTAACATATTTACAGTTTACTATCAGAGTAACTTTTAGATGTTTGTTTTTTCTTTTACTATGTTATATGTGGAATTTACAGCTGACGGTCACAGTGTTGTAACTGATTGGTGATGTGATAAGGAATGATCACGTCACATGGGAAGTTATGGAATGCGGCTGGCTGTGAGATTAGTGAGAGGAGGTGACTGTGTAACAAGTAAACAAGACAAACATTTCATTCTAACAAAATATGTTTGACATACGAGAACAGTAAGTGAAGAGGCAGGGCCAATCCTAGAGTCAAAGACGCCTGGGTGCAGAATTTTTTTGGGGTACCCCGATGTGGGTGTGGTCATTTAAATAACTCCTCCCTTTTGCAAATGTTCAGACATGCATGCTTCTATGGCAGCAACAACACTTTTATATCTATCACCCATTTTTCTAATAAGAAACACACTCCCCGACAGCATTGGCGGATCCAGGGGGGGGCAACGGGGCAATTGCCCCCCCCGAGATTCCCCCCTGCCGGCTAACGCAGGGCTGGGATTCCCCAAGTGCCAGCCCTGCAATGTGCCTGCGGACCGGGGAGGAAGATCACAGATCTTCCTCCCCGGTCCGCAGGCACTGTGCTGACAGCCGGCACGGGAGGGAGGGAGTGAGAGAGAGGACCCGGGAGCTCAGTCTGCAGCTCCTCCGGGTCCTCCTCTCGTGAGATTTGGAGCGTTGCCGCGGTTACCACGGCAATGCTCCAAATCTCGCGAGAGTGAACTCTAGCCCAGGAGCGTGGGCTAGAGTTCACCTCACCACCACTGGGACCACCAGGGAATCACCACTGGGACCACCAGGGATCGAAATATGTCCCCCCTCCTCCTAAATAAAGGTAAGAAGGGAGGGGGGACATAGAATATTTATTTTATAAAATAAAATAAAAATTATTATTTAAAAGCCTCCTTCCCCCCCCCCATACACACATTGCCCCCCCATTACACACACACACTGCCCCATTACACACAGTGCCCCCATTACACAC